CCCCAAAACCCCAAAACCCCAAAACCCCATAAGGATTATAAGATGTATAGATCTGGATTAAAATTTCCTAATTAAATAAATAGATGCTTAATTAAAGTTAATGCTGATTGCTACTCACTTTGTTCTTTGTCTTTTGCCACCTCTACTGGCGCTGCTTCCACCTCTACTGGCACCGGCTCCTCCTCTACTAGCACCGCCACCACCTCTTTTGGGGCCTCCTCTTTGACTTCTGGGTCTTTTCTATCCTGTACTACCTAAGTATTTCTTAGCTTTGTCTTCACTATACAAGTCCTACTCAAGCAATGTTGCAAATTCATCATAATCTGCATAAATAGAACTCTTTTATTTGGCATCTTTCTTGTCATTGCCTTTCTTATTTGATTTGATTTAATCGAAGAGATTTTCGTCATCCTCCTCAAATTCTTCATCATCCTCACCTCCATATTCATCTGCCATTTCTTCTTCATTGTCCATTTCAACTTCACTATCATCTTCTCCCTCTTTATCTTCTTTATCTCCTTCAATCTCGACATCAGACAATTCTTCGCCATCAAAGAAATCTTCGTTCTCTTCGTCTTCATCCATGTCCTCTTCTCCTTCTTCATTGTCTTCCCCATCTAACTGCTCAAGCATATCATCATCCTCATCTTCGAGATCCTCTTCTCCCATACCTTGGTTCATCCTCTTCATCTCCTTCTCCATTACCTGTTATGCGAATTTCTCCATTTCAGGGTCTTCCTCGTCTTCATCGAACTCCAAGTCACTCTCAGCTCCTCCTTTCTTTTTTTCTTTGATTGGCTTTTCTTTGAAGTATTTGTACATATACTTTTCCTCTTCTCTTACTTATGTTGGTAAGTTATCTTTGTTCTCAGAAGTGAAATCATATGTATTAATAGGGGCTTCCAATGCTGACATTCTTTAGTTTCCTCTTATTTTAGCCAATTTTTCTGCTGATTTTGGGTTTTTGTAAGAGATTCTATCAAGGAAGTTAGCTAGTCCAAAGTCAAGTAATGGATCACCAGCATAAAATATGGACTCTCCGTTAACTAGCTTCTTTGCCCATAGCTATATTGTTGGGTGAGAATGGAAAGTGAGATTGTGAAGCTCAAAGAGTGGACTCTAGTCAGCATTGGCATATTAAGGTTCTCTTTTCAATGCATCATAAGACTGAGATTGGCCATTAGCATTAACTTTCTTACCTTGAACAATCTACTTCTACTACTCATCCTACAGTTTATCAACATCGTAGAATCTTTCTTCTTCATCACTGTCATTATTGTTGAGAACTTGTGTTCTTGAGACTCTTCCTCCCATCCTAGCAACATCAAAGGAGTACAAACTGAACTTCAAGTCATCCTTGCTTTTAATAAGTTCAGAGATGATAAGCAAAGTGGCTGCTGTGAATCCTGCTTCATTGATAAAGCACATTTGAAGCATTCTTCTAAAGAATGCCATAATTCTTGGAATATTCTTGTCAATTTTGATTGACTTGAACACTAAGCTGAAGAATTCATCAAGTTTTGCCGCTTTGGTCAAATGCAACTTTAATAGAATTTCATAAAGAGATCTGTAATATCTATCACTAAATGATGCTAGATTTGTTTATCCTTCTGGTTAATCTTACTTTGCTATCTATATTTCTTGTTTGTTAATCTTATTGGTTTGTTTAGCAAAAGCGAATAGCAATTTCAGAGTTTAAATCTGAATTTTGAATGATTCGTGATGAGTTAGCTAAAACAAGATATTAGTCTCCTCTTCTATTAGCTTTCTAAGTTCACTGTTGCTATTAGACATTAAATCCATATCAGAGCATTTAACCATTAGAACATTAACTCCTTTAAGTACGATTTCAGCTACTCTATTATTGCTTTAGTCAATTTTACCAGTCTTTTCAGCTAATTTTTACTCCTTAATTCTCTATTCTTTTGATTTTGTTCTGTCCTTTTTTACTTCAACGACTGGTTTCTTAGCAACATCCTCTTTCTTATCAAAGGTACCAACTATTTTCTTAAACAAAGAGAAATAGATTCTAAACAGAGATATGCGAACTTTTTCGTCCTTAGGTGCAACCATGCTTGCTACACGATTAAGATAGGCACTTGCATAATAGATTTAATTATTTTTTGTACCTGGTCTCTAAATAAACAACTATACTTCTCTAACTATGACCTCACTCATTTCCTTATGAACTTAAGTCAGCTTGATCAAAGTGAATATGGTATGACATTAGATTTTTTTGCTCAAGTCTCCAAGTTTATTTACAATGATACCTAAAATTACATCTTCCATTTCCGATTTTCTCTCAATTAAGGACTCTAGTACTGTTAATGAGAACTTTTTGAAGAATTCAAGATCATCATGAGTTAGTGGCTGCAATACCTAGGTCACAAATTCCTTGTAAAGCTCCTTAATCTAGTGTTCAAAGTATGCTTCAAGAAGTTCCTTATCCTTTATTTCGCTTTCCTTTTTGTTTTGTAAAATAGGGTTCTTGCTAAAGGGATAAAGCCTACGGTCCTCTCTTAATAAACCATGCTGGGTAAAGAGATCACGGAGAGCTCCAATTGAAGACTCAGCCTGCTTTCTATTCTTCTTCTTTGAAAGATTCAGTAAACTTTTCAGATAAGTCAATGAACGAACTGGTTCTCTTTGAATTAATAAAGACAAAGCTGAGATTTTATCAGTAATGGTACCCTGCTTAAGCATTTTGAGTAAATAATCACCTTCTTTATTATCTTTTTAGAGCTTTTAATAGTAAGCTTACTCTTAATCTCTTGCTAGTCTTTCGCCTTTCTTGTATAAAGTAGAGAAGAAATCCATATTCTACTGTAATTTCTTGAATTAAGTGTTGTTTTCTTCTGGTTTAGTCTCCTTTGGAGCTGATTTTTATCTTGGTTAAGAGTGATTTTTCTTTTACTTTGAGTCTTAAGCAGCTGCAGTTGGTGCTGCTTATTGTTTAATACTCTGCTAATTTTTAATCATTTTATTTAATAGTATATTATATGTTTATTACTATAAGCAGAGTTATCACTTGTGGGGTTTTGGGGTTTTGGGGAGATCGGAAGAGCGTC